TCTTTCTTTCCCATGTCAGTGAGCAAAAACAATACAGTAAAAACCTCTACATATCTAGCTTGATGCATAAGACCTCAGTGGGGTTACATTGACTTTTTTATTCATTACTTTTTCTGCCATCCATCTGCTGTACTTGCAGCTTTGTTACAGACAATAGACACTTCAAAGTGCAACTGCAAGGAAGGTTTGGCACATCTCACACCTGGTACCTTAACTCATACATGGCTATAGTACTGAGGGTGTTTTTGGAACAGGCTAACCACTCCAAACTATGCCTACATGAGTGTTAGATCATATTCTCTTTTTTGCTGAAATTGCAAATGCAAGAAGTAGTTCAGAGCTAGCTCACATGTGCCCATTTCAGTGTGTCTCAGTAAGCAATTAAGGAAGATAAATGATTTCACAGGGAAAAAGATTTCACCTAATGTGAAAAATGCAGTCTATGAGTTTTTAACAATCACACTGACCAATTAATTTTTCTCTTTAGATGCTCAAGTCCCTACCTCCGTGTATATCCCAGAGACATGCTCCTGCAGGCTCAAGTAGGCATCAAAACACAATGCAATCAGTTGTTAGAAGTCTTCTTTCTCCCACTGAATGTGCCTCTGTTAATATACACCTACCATTTGATACACCAGACTTTCACAAGCTGACCCAGATGTGGATATCTACTATACTCGTGAATAAAAAGGCACATTATCAAGCCAGTCATTCTAGTGTGAACAATATGGAAAGACAGACATGGATATACCATGAAACCTGTCACAATATAGCAATCTGCAGAATTAATGGCTGGTTGAAAGTGTTAACACAGAGTAATATATGAGCACAATGGTAATAACAAAKCTAATCATTTCATGTGCTTCATCATCCTGAGATGGGCAGTCTGCTTTTAGGATCCATGTTAGCATCTGCTTATTGCTGCKCTGTACCATATATAACATTAACCAAGAAAAATAGACCATCTTGCTTGCAGTTGACTTGGGAAATGGAATAATTTGTTCCAGTCAATAATGCTGGTCACTTCCCAGAATAACCATATCCCACTCACAGCAATTAAGCTGTGAAGGGAGGTGAAAAGCTAAAAGATAATTTTATTTAGTACAGTTTGGGTGACTTGCAGACAATCAGAGGATGAAGCAGTCACAGGCCTCACTTCAATGAGTACCTCCTCTCAGAAATGCTTCCAAGTGACCCTAGTTTAGGAGGGAGGAAGCAGTAAGTGGATCATCATCATGTTCCACTCTGTCCGTACAGAAGTTCTTCAAAAAAGATATTACAGTCTAGGCCCATTACCAGTGGTGGCCAGTCTCTACAATCAGTCAATTAGGCCTCAGATATCAAAGCCTCAAAGGCACATCCCCTTTATAACGTACCTTGCCCAGGACAGTGAGCTGCTGAACCAGAAGATGGGCACTTTGTGTCTTACCAGCTCCACTTTCTCCAGAAATAACGATACACTGTAGAGGACAAGAGCATGAGTTTGAGCTCACTGCATATATCTCAGCCTGTTAAAGGTATAAATATGATACTTGATCTTTACCTGATCTGAGTTRTATGTCACCATGGACTGATATCCTATATCAGCAACAGCAAAAATATGAGGAGGGTTGGCAGTCCGCTTGGCTCCAATATAGAGTTTGGAATGCTGAGTGTAAGAAAAATAAGGACAACTTCACTGGATTTTGTTCTGTTTACCAATTAGGGGACAGCATGCTGAGCTTGCTGGCAGTGATGCTTTCCGCTTGAGCATCCTGTTACTTAACTAACTGTGCCACAGATTTGTATGTATTTAGTGCTAGAAGAACTACTAAAAAAGAGTAAACATAATTTTGTATCATGTCAACCCTACCTATGCTACGAAACTTCAATAGTCAGAGCAAAAATCAGTTCCGCTCTGGTAAAGGTTCCCTTTCTCCTCTGAGACACACAGCCATGTAGAGCCATGTTACCAAGCATGTACGAGAATGGCACAAGAATGGTCTGTGTGGCCTGGCATTTTCCTATTGGGGAGGTAGGGAAGGACATACTATTTTATCCAGCATGAGCACCTCCCAGCTGTGCAACRTTTGGAAAGAGATTCTTCAGAGAATGCCTCTCTGTCATGCACAAAACATACACTGACCTCTCTATTTTGAGTGAAAAATAGCATCCTTTTTTTTGCTATTTTTAGACTCTCTCCAACTATAAGACAGAATAACCTGCACAAGTCTCTTCCATTTCAGGAAAACACMCCATGAAGGACAAAATAAAAACTCTGCTTCCTTAAAGGCACATTACATTAGAGCTACTCTTTGCTTTTGATGTTAACACTGATGTAAAACAGTGACAACACTCTTTCAGTCCCCTGCAAAACAAAGGTAAACAAGGTAATCAAGTCCACTTTCAGATATGTAGTATGTTAGCACATAACTCTTYAGTAAGTAATATGACCGAAATTTTGCGGAGTTCATAAACAGTTCACTGTTCTTTTTGCATAAGCAGGATTATTTTTGTGAATACGTAACACGTATTTATGTTATGTGAGTGGATAAGATCCACTTATATAAATGTATAGATATGTACACATGCCACTTCTGAACTAGTTGCCCTTGGCTTCCTTTAAGTGTAGTGAGATTCTAGTCAACATAGCTCAGCCTAAAATCAAAGTTGGAAGAACAATGACCTCAGTTTCTATTAATTATAATGGGTGACTAGTTCATACATAGCTATCTAAACTTTAAACATGATGTTCTACATACTCTACAYTGCAGACACAAAGGTACCTGAGATGAACCTTTTCCAGAGGTGTCTCATTTCTAGGCTGAAATTCAGCACATAAGGATGTGTGGCAGCACGCTACAGACAGGGCACTGTATCTGTAATTCTGTTGTTCACAGTAAACTCTAATAAATCATTATTACTTCATATTTAACATGAACATTCATATTTTACGGGAAATCAGCATGTGTAGAAGGAAAAAAACAAACCTAGACTTTCACACCTGTGAAGAATAGATGTCTATGTTCCGAAATGGATTGACAGCAATGAGGATGTCCCCTACATACGTGTAGATCTGATCCTTGGCATAACCCTTCTGCAACTGCTCCGTTACTGTGTTCTGATGGAGAAAGAATTGAATTACTGTTTCTTAGGAGGAAAGAATATTAGGGAAAAATGTATAAAACAGTAATGAAGGGGAGAGAAAGGGAAAATAGTAATGTCCAAGAATACATATCATCTAGATCACAAGTGACTGCTATTTTCAGACAGGCATGCATAATTTTTTGTGTCCAAACTGAATCTAAACAATATATATTTAGAGATCTCCAAGTGGCTACAGAAACATTAACTAGTAAATAGTGTTTAATTCAAGTCATCAAATGTGCTTATATGTGATAGTCCTGTTTAAAATTAGCTCTACAACTTCATGTAACTAATAAGACAAGAGCTATATCCTTAAATTCCTACCCGCCATTGCAATATGTCTAGAATTACTCTCTTATTGTAAGTCAGATCTTCAACTGTTTGGGTTCTATCAGTGTAAGCAGATAAATATGTTCCTATATTAACAAGCAGTCTCTCTTGTGATCGTTTTTTTTTTTTTTTTGATGCTCCAAAACAAGTGCTCCTGAAAACAAGGGGCTCATGAGAGGTGTACTCAACTTCATACTGTAGTTTTCCTCAGTCTCGTCTACATATGGAGCGGGGATGACACTGCCTGCTGAGCTTTCCAATCAAAACAGGCAGTAGCTCTGGCTGCAGAAATCTGGAGCAGCCCTTAGACTATTCTGAGTTACAGATGAAAATGCTTACACCTTATTTCCATTGGAGCAGAACCACAAGCAGGAGAGGAACAGAACACACTGCTTTCCCTCCACCTCCATCTGCTCACAGTGATATGCGCTGTGTTTTGCTTAATGCAGTGCAGCTGAAAAAGTTACACCACYTTCACAGGAAAACATCAAAATGAAACCCTAAGCTTAGGATTTCCACTGATTTGATAAAATCTTCCCTTTCTGGTTCTGAACCATACATTGCTTTTTGCTATGGCTAGGTTCACATGAACTTTTCAACATTTTTTTCTTTTTTTCTTTTTTCTTTTTCTTTTTGGTTAGGGGAGATTTAAAGTCATTTCTTGCACCTATAGTCAAAATCTTATAATTTACTTTACTCCTCTGGTGAGGCTACATAAAATGGAAAGCAGGTTTTAAATATTCTGAGAAGCTGCCACTTGTATGTGAACAGATTATACATTGGATTTGATTTACAACGTGCAGTCAAATGATGCCCTGAAGAGGCAGGCTTCCTGAGAAATTTCCTGAGAAAGCTCCACCTGGAGGAGATGGGATATACTTCAGGCTTGACTTGCTTTCTGGTTTCTCTTTAGTTCAGCTAAAGATATAAGCCAGCATTGCCAGCAAATAGATAGCAAGTGCACAAATGTGAACCTTGTGTGGTAGATGAAAAGTTTGAATTAGTCCAGCTACTATTAATGAAAGACTGAGGTGATACTAACAAGCTCTTGGAAGATGCAAAATGCTCTGAGAGCATTTTGGAGTTTACCAGGTCATATTTRATACTCTGGTCTCATAAACATGCAATATATCAGAAAAGTTTTACAGATAGATAATACGAGTTATAAGCTGTATCAGATCCTGGACAGCTCAGTAGAGGAAGGCTGACAGATGTTTGCAACCACTGATGGTCTCTAAGACCTGCAGATAAAGTGCTGTGGCCTGATTCTTCTTTCTGACTTTGAAGCACMGAGCTACAACCACAGCGACTTCCCTCCTCCTTGTATGGATGCTGCCCTGCTYAACATGGACTTCAGTTTTAGACAAGCCAGTGATATCTGTGTGATCAATAGAGGGCATTGCTAGGGCCCAAGCCTCAGCTGAAATAAAGTGATCTCAATAGATTTCCACACCAAAGTCAGAAAGAACCCAGCTTAAAAATTATGGGAAGCTACTTCAGGAGAACCCTAGATGTCTAAGCAACAAGTGAGAAGGTGCTTGTTCTTGAAGCTGGACAAATTTCAAGTTAACAGATCACTGACAACTACATATCTAGCTGTAATAATAACTAGTGCTATAGATCCAGTTAACCACATGRTGCCATAACACTGCACAGTTCAAAGCTTTCTTTAACTACAGAGATCTTTTAGCATTGAGTTGAAACCACTCCAGCAAACCTCATCTAAAGCGTTCGCTATAAACTGGCAAAATATCATTACATCAGTGACACTTGTACTGTAGAAGTGCAACAGCACTGATGAACTTGAAAATCAATACCYCACCAGTGTATTTTAATCCCACCTGATCCCTGCACTCTTCAGGAAAAAATGAAAAAAGGCAAGTGTCTTACCTCATCCAGTACTTCCAAGGTTGCTAAATCATCTACTTCTTCCTGGTTTGAAACTAGTGACTTACTGTAGTTCCCTTTCTTTGTATGAATACGTTCAAATCTAGAAAAGAAAGACATACAACTTCTTAAGGGAAGAAAACACAGAGTAGATCCCGCATCTATAAATACCTTGAAAAGAATTCAGTCAAAGCWTTCCAGCTTTCTGCTCTTCTGAATTCAAACATAGGAATGGCTAATAACAAGACAATATRAAATATTTTAATGTGGTACATCTGGATTTGATTATTGAAAATTCAGTCTGATCCCCCAGCTGACACCGTGAAGAACTTTTTCATTGCATGTTCACAGACCCCTGCATGATCACCTCCCTCTGTCAGGAGGGATAGAAGGACAGAAGATATACAATATGGGGGGAAAAATTACACATGGATAACACATACAACAGTTAAACACTAGCACTTGGGTAGGGAAAAAAGAAAAATGACTTGATTCAACGTTTTAGAYAGGAGAAAACTGTCAGTGAGGACAGTGCTTTAATCCCATCTGAGATGGCCACACTGCAGGTAAATACTGCAGAATCACTGCAACAAATGAAATACATACTGACTAAAAAGARTTTTCTTGGATTCTACAAGAAAATAAATGTCCCAAACATGGAAACATTCCAAAAATTCAAAAACTTTAAATTTAAAATTCAAATAAACTTTTCAGTCTTGTGTTTTCTGCGACTTCCTGATTTGCATTTACCAGCTAAAGGGTGTATAACTGCATGCAAACCAGAGTTGCAGACAATCCTAAACCCTCAACAGAAATTATGCCCTTTTATACCCCTTACTTCTATTTATAACTCAATTCCTTTTTAACAGGTTCAGTTTAAATTTTAGATTTGGACAGCTAAAGCAATTTCTTTTTTGTTTCTGCACAAAGGTCATTTTGTGTCAGAGGATATGACTTTGAGAAGGACTTACTGACACTCACAGAAGGGAAAGACGAGTGAACTGCAGTACTGGTTTAAGCTCTGCTGTTCTATATTTCCCTTTGCCCAAGGAAGATCCTAAACAAGACACCTGTCAAATCACATTTTCAATTTCTAGTGGGATTGTCACACACCAAATCCTTTTTTTTTTTTTTCTAAATCTTACTGCGTCGGTGAGAGGGTGGTATTTCCCAAGATTTATTTCAGCTTTGCAGGAAAGTAGGAGAAAACTCCAGTCATGAAGACTTTCTCTTTGAATATTTTCTGTTTTTTTTCTCCCTTTAACAAAATGATCTCTATTTATGCCAGAGAAGTTTAATTACATAAAATTGATTCTCATGTAATCCTGTTCAGCTGACATTATGAGAACACTAGTGCTTGTTAAACCAGATTATATTCTCTGTTTTCAGAGAACAGCAGAGGCAGATTTGCAGAACACATAATATTTTTCTGCTTTGTTGTCAAAGGGCACAGACCCCTCRAGGGCAGTTATACTGCTTCACTTGCGAAAACTCCGACCACTAGAAAAAACCCAAACACATCAGCGCTGTTGACATCAATGCTGAAATTTCATTATCATCATGCACATGGACATTGTGAACTGAAATAACTATGCTCCTCTGTTTCGTACAGAAATTATTTGTTGGAGGCATTAAATCCTACAGCCATATTCAAGAAGCAAATCAGGCAGCTAAAGGCCAGATATATCAACCCAATATGCACTGAAAATATGAGTCAATGCAGTGTTGTTTCTTTACATCCCCCTGCACATCCTTCCCCTTCATCCTTATCTTTCAAGATTCAATCAAATCAAAGTGAGGCAACTGCAGCTTTTTCTTCTTCAGATTGTCAGAGTGCATTTAAAAGATTTCTGATAGTTCCAAAAATACCATGAAAAGGGAAGCATGAGTCACGATGCCCTGTTGAACTCTCTGCCAAAACTGGTTTGAGGATTACCTACAAACTAAGCAGTGACAAGAAAAGGGCTAGTCTTGGTCTGGCAGTAAAGCCAACATTAAAAATAATGATTTTTTTTGGTAACATAAAGTTGGAAACAGCTGCACCCCTTCTAGCAGTTACAAATATAACTGTAAGTGAAGAATACAAAAGAAGTTGTACAGACCCTGCACTGATCTGTATAGGATCAGTCATTGCTGGTGATTTTTTTTTTCTGGAGGCTACACAGAGCAATTCATCTTTAAAATCAGAATTCCATCCACAACAGAGGARTCTATTGGAATATATTAAAATAAAACTCTAATCTTGTAATATATCTGTATAAAATTTCTACCTGAACTTGGTGAAATGTACTGATAGACTCCAGTCTGCACAATGCTTTGCCCACTCTGTGTTTAAGAGGTTTCATAACTTGAGCTCCAGTATGATGAGCTGAGCTCAGGCTCAATATCGGCAATCTTGTTGGGAGCACAGAGCTGCCAAAGAGAATCACAGAGCTTTGGGTTCAGACATGGACCCTGACTGACCAGCTGGGTCAGCTGGTCAGCACCGTCCGTTTGCCAAAGACTATGCCAGCATACCATGCTCTGCAAAAGTGCAGAGCACCAGTCCTTTATGATAAGCTCAATAATGGGCTGCACACTTGACAATATTCAGGGGAAAAAATATGTGTTTTTAACTGAGCAAACAGGATATTTCTAAAAGGACTCTTTGGGATTGTTTCCTTATTGCCCTCATGAGTAGGACCGCACTCTAAGCTTCAGAAGCATCTAAGAAGTATRTAAGCATCAGAAGAGTGAGCAGAAGCTCCTGAAGCGAGCAATGCCATGAGGCCTCCCACCTGCAGGCTCCATCACTGGTGATGCTGTGAAATAGCAGCTGCAGGGAATTCCTCCCAGAAGGTCTTGGAAAGAAACTGGAACCACATCCTACCCTGCTACAGTGATGTGTATATGCAAGAGGCATGTCAGACTGGAGACCTACTTACTCTGTAGGCCCACAGTGGGAGGTCTGTGCTGCCAGGTTACTTTGGACTGCTTCTAAAATCCAAGATCCGTTTGGCAGTAGAGCCACTTTAAAAAGGAGCTTCCTCAGACTTCTCCTTGCTGCTAACARTGCTCATATGGAGTTACAGAGCACAGGAAGAAGAGACTTGAAGTATTCAAGGATTAATCTGGAACTCCAACATCTCTGGTTTAATCTCCTGCTTTGTTACAGCCTTCGTACGATGACCCTGAACAAGTCAGCGCTGTGACTGGGAGCTATTTTACTCTGCTCCTCTTACCCTTTGTCGAGCTTTGCACTACAGCCACAGGCCAGGTTACTAACAGTGGGTTGTCTACTGCTCACTGCAGAACTTACCTGCAGGGATTGCTATCAGCTGGTTCCAACTGACAGGATCAGTCAGAGAAAGAGAGAATACCCAGAAAATAAGTCACAAGTTTGGGCTGTAATCAMGAAAAGCCACGGGATGTGACTATAAATTTCTCCCTGCTTTCAATATTAGTGAATAAACTGGCAACCCCCCTGAAGTGTGTTGTACACAAATCGCTATGAACTGACCTCCCTGATGTTTATAAATAGTTAAACAGAGCAGCTGTTCAACACCTTGTCACTAGATTTCAGTGCTCTCCCTAGGTGGTCAAYGCAGGACAAACTTAGTGGGCTAATTCAGCTCACCCCAAAGTCCTTGCTCAGAATAACTTTGAAGCAGAACGAGTCTCTTCCCTGCACTTTCCGAGAGGGCTTATAAAGATCAGCCTCTTCAGCTGGGGACCAGAGTCACTTGCTGAAATCTAGGTGCAGCAAATATCCTTCATGCATGCAGCTCATTCAGCAATGAGTCATAATGCTCAGGAAATACAAGCTGTACTAATCATTGTGTATTTCTGCAGATAATATTGTAAAAGCAGTTAAGATTAGGACAGCTAAACAACTCGAGATAGAAGTATTACAAGCCTGACTGTCAGGTGTAAATGTGACAGTTCTGAAGGCCATTTCAAAGACAGCTATTTCTGCTGGAAAATAAAACTCTTAACAAGGTATTTTTTTTCTCACTTGGCCAAGCAAGAAATGTACTTTTAGAATAGCTTTGAGTACATGCTGCATCACTCATGGCTAAAAAATATTTGGGTCACCAATTATAAATTTTAATATCTACAATGGAATTTTTGTAAGAGTCATATTGTTAGCATGTGATTGAGGGACTGACTAAAAAGGAGCTGAAAACTAAGCAGTGCCAAAAGGTGAATCTATGCAAGGTTATTTCTTCTATATAATAGATTTTTTTCTTATATTTTGTTAAAAAATAAAGTAAATGCTATCATCATGCTTTTTGTGTCATCATCAATACAGAAAGGAATTGGAATACTAGAGCTGGGTGGTCCTGTGGACTGGAGTAACAGATATGGGATAAGATGAAAGTTATTTGTACAAAATCTCAAGATCATCCTACCAGCATGTAATGGAAGTTACTTTTTTCAAAGTTAGTAGCCTGAAAAGACTAAAGAAAATAAGTATCTAGATGATAATGAGTCATGAACCACTCTGAAAAGAGGCAAACACCATTTTGTGATATTAAACATTGAAAGAGGCTTTTCTTGTCATCCCCATGATAAGGCAATTTTGACTGAAGCCCAGGACCCTACTGGTTAAGACACCTCCACTCACAGTGAATTTACACCTCAGTGAGAAGCCAAATGCTGTGTCCATCCTGCATTGTGGAGCCCTGAACTGGAGACAGCACTCCTGATGGGTCTCACCAGTGCTGAGAAGAGGAAGAATCACCTCCCACCACCTGCTGGCAAAACTCTCGTCATTGCAGCCCTGGAGATTGTTGGCTTTCTTCACCAGAAGGGCCCATTTCTGGCTCATATTCAATCTGTTGTCCACCAGGACCCCCAGGGCCTTTTCTACAAAGTTGTTTTCCAGTCAATCACCGACCAGTCAGTACTTGAGCATGGGGTTATTCCTCACCATGAGTAGAACTTGGCACTTCCCCTTGCTGAACTTCACGGGATTCCTCTTGGCCCTGTTCTCCAGTCTGAGAGGTCTGTCTGAATGGCAGCACAACCAGCTGGTGTATCAAGCACTTCTCACATTTTTTTGCATCACCTGCCAACTTGCTGGAGGTGCATTCATTAATTCAGTGAATTAATGAAGATGCTGGCAATGCTGGCCAGTACCCACACGTGGGCTATACCAGTAGGGACAAGTCTCCAGGTATGATCACAACCCTCTTATCCCAGCAGTTTCGCCAGTTTTCAGTCCACGTCACTGACCACTTTGCACGCTTTATCAGCTCATCCATGAGGATGTTATGGGAGACTGCCAAAAGCCACACTAAAGTAAAAGTGAACAGCATCCATGGCTCTCCCTTCATCTACCAAGTCAGTCGTTCCATCACAGGAGGCTACCAGTTCAGTTAAGCACCATTTCCCCTTCAAAAATCAATGCAACGACTCCCCAAAATCTTCCTGCCCTTCATGCTTCTGGAAATAGTATCCAGAATTAGTAGCTCCATCACTTTCCCTGGTAGCAGGTTAGGCTGACTGGCCTGTAGTTCCTCTGATCCRCCTCTTGACCTCTTTTATGATAGTAGGAGTGACAATATCCATGTCCTCATGTCCTCAGGAACCTCATTTTCATTGAGGATGGGAGAGTTCTATGGCATTGGCAATTTAAAAGAGCTAAGCTGAGATGTGCCTAGCTCAACAGCCTGGGAGCTCTGCTTCTCTGTCTAGGTGTTCAAAAAGGATGCACAGTGATCTGAAGTTAGGTTCATCTCTGCTAGATAACAACAATAATGCAATGGCCTAATGCCCTAATGACTCATAGGTGGCCACAGGAACAATGGTGCTAATGGAAAGGATTCAAGGGTAGCTCCACACTACAGCTAGACATTACACCACCCTTCCTAAACGAACACGGGTGTGCAAATATTGGATTTGAGGATACATTTAGCAAGTTAAAACATAAGATCATAAATCTAACAACAGACTTCTGTGATAGAACACAACCAGAGCCAAGTTAGACCTCCAAAATCAGGTGAAGATGGTGAAATGGGGACASAGTGATAGTATACCTAAGAAGGCTAAGTGAATGGACCTCAGCTTTTAACTTTCAGGCATATCTCTTCTACTCTTTTCTTTTGAAATACTCTTTTTTTTTAAGACAATAAAAAATTGAGGAGAAAGAGAAATGGATAATKAGTTTCTCTGGAACTTTCAACTCTAAATCCACATTACCAATCTTCTTGAGTTTATAGGCTACGTCAACTGAAAGATCACTACACACATGAGGGCCTAGGAACCTTAAGTGGAATTTCTTCAACCCTTAAAATACCTGCCTCTCCAATGACAGCAAACAGGACAGCTAAATCATTGAATCTGGACTGAAGGAGAGCAAGAGCTGCAGAACAGGAGGCTGATTTATAAGAACAGCTTCCAGCAACTGATAAAAGTTCAGGAATTCCATGATAGGACCTCAACAAAATAGCATAAACACAGTCCCAGAACAGGATAATCAAGAAAAGGAAGCGAGGAGATTTTAAGATGAGACTCAGGTGACCAGTCACTACACAGCCTATGTCTTGACCTTGAATCAGATTTTCATAGTATTTCTATGCAGACTCATACTGACATAACCTGCTCTGTGCACATTCAAGCTCAGTGCTGAGCTCGGGCTTTTTGCAGTTCCATCTTTCTGGATTAAGCACATGGCAGTTCTCTGCCATGCAGAACATACAAATCCTGCCTGATACTTAAATTTAAGCCAACTGCATAGGTTTTTACTGAAATGTCAGGCAAGAGAAACTATCATTCATTCCACATACACTTCTACCAAGCCAAACAAAAGTTTACATAATTATTTTTTGATATATTATTGTCAAAAGACAAAAAAACAAATCAGAAATTTCTCCAAGATCAGAACTGAAAACTGCTCTATTTACTGGTACCATATAAGAAATGCAGCAGATTTTTTTTTTTTCCTTCTTATATAACTGATAATATCAAAATGGTCTTTTAAATTTCATGTTTCATTAAAAAAGATCTATCATCCTTGAAGCATGAAAGAAAACATACCAATAATAATACATCAATGCTCATCTTCTACTACATTTCACATCTTACACATTACTTATATGTACTGGATTTTTTCTTAAATCGCAATATTGAGTCAAGCCATTTTCAGTTATTTTAAATAAAAGACATTAGTCTAAGTCGTTTATGAAGAACTGATGTTACTAAATKCTAGTTGAAGAAAGTAACTCATCCATAAGACACAAGAGTTTTTAGTTTCAGAAAATATTTTTAAATTTTCCAAACAATGTCTGGTAGCACTGTTTTCAGTTAGTAGCATCCAGTTCTTGAAGGAATGTTTTGRGGGGTTGTGGGTTATTTTTGTTGTTTTTGTTGTTTTTTTGGTTGGTTGAAGCACAGTTGTTTAAACTAAAAATTAACTGCCTGTGCCAATGCAACATTCATGTAACATTCATGTAACATCCAGGACATTCCTTTCACTTAAMCTTAGTTTTCTGGGAAGCTAATCTGGATCCTAATCTGTGTTTAGTCACAAGAGAAACAAGAAACACTTCTGAAGACTGTCTCATCCATGTGCCAATCATGCTGCTTCTTTACACTGCTTCTGTGAGGAATCCCTAGGAGTAAGCTCACCATTTCTTGGTCAGCTAAAGYTAATGAGAGATGATTTTTTCCCCTGAGTAGCAGGGGAACCGTTCTGAAATCGTGAAGGTATCAAAACTCTTCCAGCTGGTATAGTTTTAGCTGATAGGAAAGTAATCCAGGTACCTTGCCTTTTCAGTGACTCCCATTTGCTGATGAACATCAATAAATTCCATGAGTTGCCTTTGTAGCATGTTTTCCTTTCCTTCAATTTGCTTAATAAAATCATGCTGCAAAAGACTGGACACTGTTGGGCGTTTCTCATAATCTTTAGTCAAGCACCTGTACTGGCAGAAAAAGTGTATGATCATTCAGGGTTCACTGTTAGGTTTCAAAACACTTGTCTACAGTTTATTTGTACTCTATAATATGATATTTACCTTAATCGTCACAGCTCTAAACTGAAAACTGAAAGGTTTCACAAAATAGATAGGGCCAAGAAGTTAAACTGTTGCATTTTAAATACAATGCATTTTAAATTTAAACATTTTCTAAAGTAGTACTAGCAAAAATATCATAAACATTCAGTATGTTAAAAAAAAAGGAGTTTTATACTAAGAGAGCATATACTGATTACTCCTTAATTAAATTTATATACATATATTATGGTAGTCAGATCAACGTGGGAACATTTCACCTGAAGCCCATGAGTTTGACGAAAGTTTAATATAAAAGCATATTTACTATGTATCCAGAAATGAAAGGAAAAAAATACAGATAAATAAATTTCTCTTCTTGTTTTTTTTTTCAGTTTAAGGAAATGAAGAAAGCAAAATGTAACTGATTTTCAGTAGTAACTGATCAGTAGTAACTGATTTTCACAGAAAATATAAAGATATTTTACTTGACATTTTAGACATGTTCCATACTCAACTACAGTGGTCTCAGTTGTTACTCACTTATTAATGAAGTCATTGAATTCAGGTGACCACAGTTCGGGCTGCTGCAATGTTGGAGGTGGATTCCTGCAAAGATCAGAAAGATGGTGAGTTARTAAGTTACTCACTTGAGAAAAATAATGTGAGAATGAAGATGGAGTAATGAATTTTAGAAGGGGCACTGAAAAAAATACTGATTGCCACTGAAAAAGAAGCATGGATAGATGATACAATATGTCCTTGATTCTCTTGCATTATATAACTAAGGAGAAATCACATCAAGATGATCTACCAAACATGGTTAAGAGTTACTGTAACTATTTAATCAAATAAAGCAAATGAAACTAACAATCACTTCTTTCTTTTCAAGTCTGAAATCATATATCTTTTAAATAGAATTCCTTAAGAATTTCTCTTTCAAATTTTCAAAGGAATTACTTCATTAATCAGCCTGCTGAACAAAGAATCAGATTGAACTATTTTTTTTTTTATTAATTATTTCATCTAAAGGTAATCAGAAGTCGAATGAAAAACTAAATACACATCTACTGTAAAATAAATTCTACTTCTTGCTTTTCATTTCTTATTTATTTCAGGTATTAATTCAGTTMAGTCTTCTTCCTTTCAAATAAAGGTGCTACTTCCACTGAGTGCAGACACAAAAAGGAGAGAGAGACACATACAGAAGATGTGACTCTTTTTTTGCCTCCTTATAGCTGCTTTTCTTCAAGGGCTGCATGGACTCTAGCACTTCTGCGTTTTACTTAATGAAATGAAAAGGTATTGATCTCTCATTTGCTCCAAGGCAGAAGTGAAGGTGCCCAATATTTTTAAGGGTTGAAGCCAGAAGTCTTCTTGAAGGCCTACTGACCATGGCAGTTTGTCACTGCTCCTTCCCTAGCAGGGGTGGGTGAGAAGAGCATTCCTGCTCTGCTTTAGTGATTTAAGCTAATTTGGGTAACTTTCCTGAAAAAAAACATGTAGCACTCATCTGCTATGTAGTGTTAATTATTGTGGTACTAACTACTTCAATGGCTGGAGTAAAATCCACAACCTGCTGTATGGTCATACCTACTGCCTTTGAGACTGAGCTCCTTGGAAAAGCTTTAAGTGGCACTTCAGGTTCTCCTACCYCCAGTTTCAAAGAAAGCACAAAAGGAGCAGCTAGATACACTGCTGGAGGACAGTAAYATTGGAAGAGGCAGAAGCAGCATAAGCTGATGGTTTGAGAGTGATGAAACAACACTCTACTTCAAGGGATGCAGCATAAATCTTGGAGACAGTTGTGATGTCTCTTTGGCAACGCTAGCAGACTGTGAGTTCCTATCATAATGMATTCTAACGGAGTATATGGAACTCTGCAGATTCCTGTGCTCATTTATCCTGGCAGCAGTCCATGTAGGGGAGGGCTTTAGGGCCTTTTCTTGAATGCAGCCACAATCAGCTCTTAACTTCTGGATGTGTTTCTGCTAGAAGCAGAGTCCATAGAAAAATACATCTAGATAAAGTATTTCTAACCTTCTCCTAATTCACAGCAATATGAAGGAGCTGTACAAATTTACATAATCTAAGTGTGAACAACATAACAGTTAAGTGAAAAAAAAWTCAGACTAATCAGGGAAGAAATAAACACATCAAGATACTACCTTGGTATTTTGAAGAGTGCTCTCATAGGGTGCAAATCAGCAAGGGGTGGATCTCCATCTCCCAACTCTATCGCAGTAATACCCAGTGACCACGCATCACATCTGGCATCATAGGAGCTATCTAGCTGCTGCTCACAGGCAATCACCTGTTAGAGTGAAAGATTAGAACGGTCATTGGATCATCAAACATCTAAACCTAAGAACACTGCACTGTGCAAGCACAACTGAAGGACTCTTAATGAACAGAGACACAAATTAACAGAACTACACACATTTTGCAAGTCAAAGCATCCTGTTTCTGAAACAGAAATGCTTAAAGCAGGGAAAAGATGGCTTTTGTGAATAGCAGATTGCTGTCTGATCTGGTCTCACCTATTCTGACAAAAGTGAGGAAATCCTCGGCATTTTCAATGGAAGATGATAAATTGCATCATCAAGAGGAAGAAAAGGCAACTGAACCTGCTTTATGGATTTTTCTTTCAAAAAGAAGTAATGCAGCCATACAGCTCTATATCAAACGAAACAAGCAGGAAAGCAGAAGCTGAATTCACTGTATCACATTGTGATATTCCTTATGTTGAAAGCTTCAAAATTAAGCCAAATTTTCAGAAACAGGTTTTCCACTAGATTACAGCAAATTTAGGCTCCTTCACATGGCCACATGAATCCAGAATTTTTTCACCTAGCTAGTTCCAGTGCGGTTTTCCTATAAACAGTGTAATTTYATGTGCTATGATCTTTTTTTTATAACTTTCTGCTTCGGTTTAAAACATCTCTTTTACAGCACATGACACTTCAAATGACAAAAAACTCCAAAGATACATAGTACATTTTATTCATTCACAGTAATGTCTTCCTTCYGTCTTTTGCTCTTAGTTTTGTTAAAAATTTTCCAGGTGGAGAAACTCAAAAATCAAAGCTAATGTATCACAGGGCTCCTGCCACTCACAGGCAGATGCGAAGCCCGGACCTAGTTTTAGAGCATGCAAGGTTGGAAACACTCAACGGCAGCTTCTTTTCTTCTTAAACACTTCAACAAACAATTCCCCTTCCTGCTCTTTGCCTCTAGTTTTGTAATTTCAAAAAGAAATTCCCTTTTAATTTAATCCTTGCCAACATGTAGCAAAATGGGCTTAAAACATTTTTTAAAGGACATTGCTATCCCATTTGGTGAAAGTTCTAGGGATCAAAAAGATAAAGAGCAGAAATGCAGAATGCAGCAGTTCGAATGCTACTCACAAAATACTATGAAACATAAATCTAACCTCTGGAGCCATCCAGAAAGGGGTGCCCACGGACGTGTTCCGACGGAGACGGGTGCTGGTCAGCTGTGCAGACACACCTAGGAGAACCAAGGGAAGCTAAATCAGAGCAACTGTGATTCCCATTGGAGGCAGTCCCTCGGAATGGAGCCATCCTCATCTTTTCTTATCATGCTACAACTTCCTTTGCTGGCAAATCTCAGTTGGATCTTCCCAGTTCTCTGCTGAAGGCCGAATACTCTAAGGTATTCAGCACTTCAGGTTCTGCATATCTTCATTTCCAGTGATTTCAGAGGTGCCAAGATTGAGCCTCAAGTAAGTGTTTCAATAGTAAACTGACTATATTTTGACTAGTTAATTACARTTTTTCCATATTCTGTTTTAGGAGCATAAAAACACAATTAATAATCAGAGCATTAAAGTATTTAAGGAAAAAAAAAAGGTACTGTACCATATATTTTATTTTCTTTCAAGCTCAGTACTGAAATTAGATCTCCGTTTCATTATATATATATTTTGGATTAAACGTTACAAAAGATACTTATCCTCATCTGCTCTGCCGTAACAAAGAAACAATAAAGCAGTGCACCATCAAAACCTGTTGCAAGRAAAGAGGTCTCCCCATTCACAAAGCAACGCCAAGTGCCTGCAAAATCAGCTTTGTAACTTGAGCTGTATAGTTTAATGAATTAACTGTTTCAGGACAAAAGCTGGACAGTGAATTCTGATGTTCGTGGTTTTAGACTGAAAGTCAGCAAAATATTAGGAATTCTAACRGACTGTCGTGACCTGCTGATCACGGCAATAAAGAACAGCCCACCACTAATTTGTTCTCTTGAAAAAGTATGGGAGCATTGATTGGAAATACCTCCAGTGTTGCAAAATCAAGAATGTAACACAGAGAAAAACTGCCCCTCAGCCAAGCAATTCTTGAAAGATAATAGATTTATGAGTCATTAATTGATTAATCATTAAGTTTGAGATCCACCAGAGGATATTCTGAAGTGCTGATATCACGGATAGTAAGAAAGCTGCTGTGTTCTACTCTACTTTCAAGCTTATTTTTATTGACACCAAAGATCAGCTATTTTGCCATCATTTGTACTTCTTACTCTCCCAATGCCATTTGATTACCATGAAACACGAAACTCCCACAGGCACCATGGGGCAGTTGCAGCTAGGGTTGTATTAACTGGTTTGAATATGCTTGGCCTTATTTTTCATAAAACCCTGCAAAAAAACTCTTAGAATAGGAATAATTCACAYTAACTGCTAAGCGAAAACACACTACTAACAGATCTGTGGCTAGATGCAATTTGGTATTTTGTTTTTYCTTCAGTGGAGGGAAATAAACCACAGATAACTTCATCTGTTTTTTTAATTCTGAAGTTGTTCACAGATCATCTATATTTGTCCCTCACAGAAAAGTATATAATCACTGAAAATAAGGCAGTGAGAAGGATCCTGACTGGTAAATGAGCCTGCATCTTTGCAGCAAGTCCACAGAAGGATATTGCCTTTTTGCTGGCTCCCTCCAGTCTACTACAAGCTTGAGAGAGTGTCTCACACTCTGCTCCTGGCTGCAGGAGGGCCAGCAGCCAGCACGATGCTTGCTCACATCATGGAAAGCAGGACAACGTGCATGTTGGCACAAAGCCCCTCAGCCACGATGYTGCTCGGCTAAAAAGGGCTTTTGCCCTTTTTTGCCTGGATCAGGGAGTTCTCGGAGGGGCAGCCTCTGGCTCACAGAGGCTCGGTTTTTGCCAAAGCCTCAGCAAAACATGTCGTTCAGATTGCAAAACAGAGCAACACATCATCACAGGTCCATCCCTGCGGTAAAGATGCAACGTGAGAGCACGGTCTGATCCTTCGTTTGGAAGGGAAAGGGGCCACCTCCCTCCTCTGCCAAACTCCTTCTTGCAGGCTTGGAGATCGGGGTTTGGATCTGCCAGCACTAGCTCGAAGGCACTAGCTCAATTTTTATTATTCCAATGTGATTTTATAAATTATCATAGCTTTATGTGGAGATAAGAGGCAAAATACAAAAGGGATATTAATGTGCACCGTCTTCTCTGTCTATGCACTGTTAGGGCTTGTTCTCTTTGAACTGTAATTATTAAACAAAGTGAAGGATTCCCCATCCCGCCTTTCTTCTTTATGTCAATAAAGATGCTGATTTCACTTGAATAGTTCATCTCTACTTTCTTTAGGCTCTTGTGTTTATTTTTTTATCCTTTTACTTCTAGCAGCAAAGTGGCATTTCAATTTATGGAATATGCATCTCATGACAAATGATATTTCCTTGGGCTTTTTTTCTGCATATATGGGAAAGATGATGCAATTCCACACTTAGTAACATTTCTTCCAGCATTTCAGCAACCAGTCAAGCATACACTGCCCAGCTTTTTTTAACTTGTATGTTTTCTAATAACATAACATAACAAGTTCCTCTCCCACTCCCTTTACTACTGCTTTGTTGCAGAAATAATCAAATATTTTCCTAAGAAATGAGCAGCTTAATAACTAAGTGAATTAGTAGTACCAATGCACATCATGCTGGCTTTTATACACACAAATGCGGAGAAGAAAACAAAGTTTATTTCTTCTGGTAAATGCAGGCCACAGGTTACGAGTAAAAAATGGAAATTTCTTATTAGCAGTCTTATACTATGAGTAYCATACAGGACTTTCATTGCAAAAATTGGTATATTGGAAAAAAGAAAGAAAACTAGAGCCACCTACTTATGACCTCAGCATTCCAGGAAGAATAAAAATGGGCAGAAATGAGCTCTCTGTTATTAGGAGAGATTTGTCTCAGAATAGCACCCAAACTGAGTAGACACTGTTCTGATCTAATTTGGGAAGTTGTGCAAAATGATTTTGTGATTATATCCTGTGACAAAGGTATGCAGCTGCACCAGCCCATGCCGGTGGGAGAGGGACGCACTTTAGCCTCTGTTCTACCAAGCTAATATTTGACACACAGCTTAGAGACAGCCTGCCCACYTCTCCTGCTCACTATGTTCCTGCATGAAAACACAGACCCCAAAGAGCTTGAACTCTAAGTATCTCACCGCCTYTGGCCACAGCTTTTTGCAGTTGTGTCACCAGTGTTCATTCCGCTATCAAAGCAACTCCTTTATGACCTTCGAAGCAGGGACCTGCAATTCAACCATTCCTCAAGCTGGTCTTTGGATCAAACACTACTCACGCTGTTAACCTGGCTGACTAAACAGGTGTAGCATTGCAGTACTTGGACTTACTTTTCAATTTTTTTCCTAAATCTCTGAGAGCCTGCAGCAAACAGAGCAAAATAAACATCAGAGACAGAACCAAAACCTGAGTGTTTCTCTTAGTTAGGAACGAGAAGGCAGGAAGGATTCCACTCCAACGTGGTAGAGAGAATTCTTCAAGAATTTTCTGAGAACTCTGAGAGCACATTTTCTGCAAAGCTTCTTTCCTGCCAAACAGCCTCCAACCTGTATTGGAGCAGGGGGTTATTCCTTGCCATATTCAGAGATTGGCATCTACCCTTGTTGATCTTCAGAAAATTCCTCTTGGACCGTTTCTCCAGCCTGTTAAAATCCCCCTGAATAGCAACCAGCTGGTGTATCAAGCATTCCTTCCAGGTTGTATCATCTGTAAACTTACAGAGCTGCACCCTGTCCTGTTATCCTGGTCAATAATGAAGATATTAAGCGGCATTGAGGGGCATTAGCTATGAAGGCCTGGCCTCTAGCTGGTCTTTGGGGCATCATCACAACTCTTTAAGCCTGGAAGTTCAGCCAGCTTTCAGTTCACCCACCTACTACTTCAGTTTGCCTAAGAGGATATTATGGCAGACAGTGCAACAACATCCACTGTTCTCTCCTTATCCACCAAGACTGTCTACGGCAGAAGGCTGTCAGGTAGGTCAAGCACAATTTTGTCTTCATAAATGTATGCTGACTACTCCCCAACATTTTCTTGTACTTAATCAGTTTGGAAAGGGTTTCAGGATTATTTGCTCCATCGTCTTTGCAGYAGTCAAGGTGAGTTGGACCTCCTGGCTATTCCCTGGATTCTCCTCCTTGAAGATAGAATTGACGTTTTCTTTCTTCCATTCCTCAGAAATCTCTGCTTTATTGACACAACCTTTCAAAGACTATTGAGAATGACACTGCAATGAGACCATCCAACATCCTCCCTTACTACTCAACTGTGTATCCCATTGGGTCCCATGCACATGTGTCTGTCCAATGTATTTATACATTGCCTAATGTGATCCTCTTCCACAGAAGGTAAATATTTTTTGTTCAGTCTTTTCCACTCATTACTAAGTATTATCTTATTACCTAAAATGTTTTAATGAATAAAACAGACTGCCAAGACCACAGCGACTGGCAAGCCAGAGGTATCCAGACATTTAGGAAAACACACATTGCAAAATATAAATCTTAAACTGAAACAGGGCATATCCAAAAGCCAGTCAAATGGCCCTTTAAAAGCTTCAGAAAGGGCAAAAAAAATCACAATATTCAAGACCATGCACAGCAACTAAGAGATGAAATATCCTCTTTATACAGAGGTATGAAGGAGAGTAAGAGGAGAGTAAAAACCAGTGAACCTAAACTATAAGATAAAAATATAGCTGATATATAAGACAAGTTAGCTCCCTTAGCCTCAGACTGTCCTTACACCCTTTCTCTGTGGACCCCAGCAGGATGGGATACCAGGGGCTGCCCTCCACATGCTCCTAGCAGATCGATTTGGCACAAGGCTGGTGCTTCTAATGAGATCTCATGCTCCAGGGCTTCAGCTGCACTCCTGGAGGGAGGGCAAGGAACATTTGTTTGCCTGGTGCACAATTGTCCAGATGTAGTCAGAAGGGAGAACCAGGCTTCTCTGAAGCCTTAGGGATTTGTGGAGCTACACACAATCTGGTGCAATATGCTGGTGAGCAGAGTCCTCCTTTCTACATGTTGCATTCTTTACATRCTTGGACTCAAATGGACTGCCACTTTTTAAGCCCAAAAAAGGAATTTACCCCTCTATGACTGGAAGAAACACAGAGGATTTTCTCCTTGTTACCTGGTACCTT